TTGAAGTAGGGGAAATCCGTAGTTGTTCGATTATGCAGTGGTTTTAAGACATCGTATTTCCTATTTGCTATTCATGAATTCGCCTTTGAAAGTTCAGCAAGAAAAAAGAAAAAGGGAGCGAGATCTTCCTTATAGTTTGACACATTGAAGACAGCGCGGGACACAATCGCCCAACATTTTCGCACAGACTCGTTTCTGTCCATATCTTTTATTGGAAAACACCAATAGTGCATATATTTATCATCACTTGATTAACACGTTGACGACATTGCGCAGCGCATGCGCATCACACCTTGAGCACCGTGCCTTTTTAGCGAAGGTTTTCTAAGCCCTACGAATTTCCCAATTGTGTTCATTCCTAGTTTCCTTTATATTCTGATAATCTTGGTCATAAAAAAGAGCAGTAGAAGTAAGTACAGACCCACACATATAGCAAGACATATGTTTTTAGTGGAGCAACCGCGTCAAAAATAATTTTGAGGTTCACTGCAGCAAAAGCAACTGAAACTTGCCTTTCATCGCCAGAAAACGTCAATTCGATCGATTTTTTACAGTTGTCCCTTCTGATAAGTTTGACACATCGAATATCATTCTAAACATTTTGTTGCATCCGAGTTTTGGGTATTTAAAGCTCAAAATTCACGGATTTGATGTGAGGCGGCGGCGCCTGCAAAATCGCCGTGGTCCCACGCGGTGCAAAAACCCAAAACGCGCGTTGTCGTCAACGTGTTAAACTGTGACTAGATTAGTAACTGTTGATGTATACTTGGAATTGTAGATGCGACTACGACGTGTAGTCAACGTGTTAAGCCTAAGAAGTCAACCATATATTAGCTTTAACTTATTCGGAAAAGTCTGCTGAGCACTAATTTTTTTTATTGAAGCACCATCGTGGAATTTCAACGGCAAGGTCAGCCCAACAACAGTCTCTACGATTTCTTCGCCGTGATCTTACAAACTTATGGCTATGCTGGAATGGTTATATCAGCAGCACTCTTTCTGACAACTGCGTAAGTAAAACAAATATTCGCAAAGAAGAAGTACGACTAAAAATGATATCAACGGCGGCTAGTGTATAGCATAGACCCGATGTTACGAAATTTTGGAATATGAATTTGTACATCTTCCTCGTGGCTACTATTATGTAATGTGCTCAAAACCTTGACGTTGGATTTTCTGTTACCTATGAATAGACATTTAATTGAACCCAACTAACCATGGATCTCGCACCATCAGCTTTGAAGGATTTCCTACGTTTCCACCTTCTTGATTGCAAGGTGATTTTCGGCTACGTTTTTGATGGCAAATGTCTGAGAACAAACACTCATAAATGAATGTTTATATTGGATAGTAAATATATTGTAAATGTGACGGTTTTTGCAATGTCGCCCAGTGGGACATTTCTGTCTTCTCGGTTTGATTCTTGTTCCCCGTTATTGTTCCGCCTTGCTGATGAACTTGCAGTGGATGAAACACCGGGGAGGTTTCAATGAGACAGGGAGCATAACCTCTGATTGGTATCCCTTCTATCCTACTTACTATAAAGCGCTTCGTCTGTCGTGTGTCGTGTGTCGTTCTGT